TTATTTTGAAAATTTTGCTCTTAAGGGTAGTGGTGGTTAAAATTGTTAAAAAGGAGGTATGGTCGAGTTTGGTATCATTTTACAGGTCTTTACAAAACTAAACAATAAACATAAAGGAAATGGAAATCGGACAACTAATAACTAAATGGCAGCTAAAATTATTAAGACAATGGTTATTAAAAGTATTTTAAACTGCCACTTTGTTATAAGTGGTCCGATTTCTATTTTATTCGTGATAATTGTTTAGTTTTGTCAAGACATATAAAATGATACCAAACTCGACCATACATCCTGTTTGAAAATTTTGAGTACACCCCACCACTTAAGGGCAACATTTTCAAAATTCACCATCATTATTGTAGCCCCTCATATTTAAACACGTTGCCGCAAACCGATTTCAAATATCTCAAATAGTTAAAAAGTTAAGGGGGATGCAAGTTAATTTTCAGCCTCCCTCATGGTTATTTTGATTAGAAACGTTTTAGGGTGCCATTTTGTTATTATTGGTCCGATTTTGGTTTTCGTTATGTAAATTGTTTAGTTTTGTAAAAATCTGTAAAATGATACAAACTCGACTATACTTACCATTTGGAAATTTTGAGTTACCCCCTACCCCCGCTACCCCTAAGGGCGAAATTTTCAAAACTAACCATAATTATTGTAGCCCCTCATTTCTAAGAAGGTTGCCGCAAACCGATTTCTAATATCTCAAAAGGATTAAAAGTTAAGAGGGGTGCAAGTTACTTTTCAGCCACCTTGTATTACCATTACACACAATTTCTTGCTTAATTTCGTCGTCTTGCAGTAGTTACAATTTATTTCATGCTGTTTTCTCAACATAGTTTTTTACAATATGAATATAATTTATAATTTTGTTTAGTTCTTTAATATAAAAGTGTTTCTGTTTAAGCGTGTTCTTTTTGGAAATATATATTAATTAATTCAACAATTCAACTAATTCGCTGAGGACAATTTTTACAATTGATGCGTATAACTTTTTACAATTAGGTTAAAAAGTGGGTAAGACGTGTATAGTCAATGGTAAGACCAAGATAAATCATTTCACTTCTAGTATCAATATTATTATTCACCAGGTGCAATCACACTATTTTAACATACGATTTCAGTGTGCATAGAAACTTCTAAGTTTACTACTGTTATGGCTTTATCTCAATGTTTTCCCAGTTCCACCAGGGATATCCAAGGAAAATGAGCCCGCATTCCAACATCAATTAATGTATCTCAAACATATTAACAAAAAAATGTTGTTTGGGGTTCAACATGGATATTGTTTAAACAACAGTACCTGGGGACCGAGCTTTGCTCGGGTAAAATCATAAGTTTCCTATTAAAGCAGTCTTAGTATTGCAGGTACATTAATCCATTCCCAAAATCCACACTCCTCGCCTTTACTACTACCTTCACCACTTCCTACGTCGTGGGCCTGTTCCTTCCCTTCCCATAGCATTTTAAGATTGCAGATACCTTAATTTAATCATCATAAACAGTTCCCACACTCCGGACTACTCGCCTTTACTACTTCCTTCACCACTTCCTACGTCGCGGACCTGTTTCCCTCCCTTCCCATAGCATTTTAAGATTGCAGATACCTTAATCTAATCTTCAAAAACAGTTCCAACACTCCGGACTACTCGCCTTGACTACTTCCCTCACCACTTCCTACGTCACGGTCCGGTTTCCCTCCCTTCCCATAGCATTTTAGGATTGCAGATACCTTAATATAATCGTCAAAAACAGTTCCCACACTCCGGACTACTCGCCTTGACTACTTCCTTCACCACTTCCTACGTCGCGGACCTGTTTCCCTCCCTTCCCATAGCATTTTAGGATTGCAGATACCTTAATATAATCGTCAAACAGTTCCCACACTCCGGACTACTCGCCTTGACTATTTCCCTCACCACTTCCTACGTCACGGACCTGTTTCCTTCCCTTCCCTTAGCATTTTAAGATTGCTGATACCTTAATCTAATCGTCATAAACAGTTCCCACACTCCGGACTTCTCGCCTTGACTAATTCCCTCACTAATTTATACGTCACGGACCTGTTTTCCCTCCCTTCCCATAACATTTTAAGATTGAAGATACCTTAATCTAATCGTCATAAACAGTTCCCACACTCCGGACTACTCGCCTTTACTACTTCCTTCACCACTTCCTACGTCGCGGACCTGTTTCCCTCCCTTCCCATAGCATTTTAAGATTGCAGATACCTTAATCTAATCTTCAAAAACAGTTCCCACACTCCGGACTACTCGCCTTGACTACTTCCCTCACCACTTCCTACGTCACGGTCCTGTTTCCCTCCCTTCCCATAGCATTTTAGGATTGCAGATACCTTAATATAATCGTCAAAAACGGTTCCCACACTCCGGACTACTCGCCTTGACTACTTCCTTCACCACTTCCTACGTCGCGGACCTGTTTCCCTCCCTTCCCATAGCATTTTAGGATTGCAGATACCTTAATATAATCGTCATAAACAGTTCCCACACTCCGGACTACTCGCCTTGACTATTTCCCTCACCACTTCCTACGTCACGGACCTGTTTCCTTCCCTTCCCTTAGCATTTTAAGATTGCAGATACCTTAATCTAATCTTCAAAAACAGTTCCCACACTCCGGACTACTCGCCTTTACTACTTTCCTCACCACTTCCTACGTCACGGTCCTGTTTCCCTCCCTTCCCATAGCATTTTAAGATTGAAGATACCTTAATCTAATCGTCATAAACAGTTCCCACACTCTGGTCTACTCACCTTGACTACTTCCTTCACCACTTCCTACGTCACGGACCTGTTTCCCTCCCTTCCCTTAGCATTTTAAGATTGCAAATACCTTAACCTAATCGTCATAAACAGTTCCCGCACTCCGGACAGCTTGCCTTGACTATTTCTTTACCACTTCCTACGACGCGGACCTGTTTCCCTCCCTTCCCTAGCATTTTCAGAATGCAGATACCGTAATCTAATCGTCATTAACAGATCCCACACTCTATACACCCTTGACTACAATGTATCGAGTAATGTGCAGTATAATCTTTGCTCAAAACTAACTACTGATATTTTTCCTTTTGTACTGTATTTTGTTTTGCTAGTATACTGTGGATAGACAACTTACAAGTCTTTTGTTTACTTTTTCCTTGTTATTTAATTCAGCCAAGATGGTTACCTAGCAACCCATAAGACTAATGTTAAAAAGATGTGACTTTCAGTTTCGTTTTTCTACGTAATTAGATTTTTGTTGGCAGTTGTAACTGTAGTAAACTCGTTTTTAGGCCAAAAATAATCTATTTACAACATTTGAAGAAAATCGTCGGAGCCGTTTTCGAGATCTTGGTGCAAGCAAGCAAGCAAGCAAGCATACATACATACATACAAGCAAACATTGCTCGTATTAGAGTATAGGATAATTGACATTCATGACGTTCATATTCAAGTTATCGTCCGCCCCTTAAGTGTTACATATTATATTACGCGATCTGGTGCGTGCGTACGATTATATAATATTTTGAAATTAATTACTCATATTAGAGAGGTGCAAAACACCTCGATACACATTCACATTCGATACAAAAATATTTTCCATTATAAGTTTTTCAAGAGTTCTGCTATTTGGGACAGAGACAAATCCAGCAAATTAAAAACCACGAAAATCGGTCAAGCCGATCTCGAGTTTTAAATGTTTGGACAGGCCCGACTTTGTTTTATGTGTTCATATATAAAAAGTTAGATTTTCTTTTAAAATTTTCCTACAGAGCTCTGAAACTTGCAATCCAAATTTTAGTACTTTTTTCGTTAATATGATTATAAAAGCATCAACAAACCTTAATTGGTGGAAAGAGTAAACACAGACTTATTATTTACTTCAATAACAGTTGAAATGTCAGAGTAATGTAATTGCCTGGTCAAACGTCATCTTTCAATCGTCGCCGCTTTGAACAATTGTCGACAATCAAAAGCCACAATCGCTCATCACAGAATCAACGCTTCAGAACAATTCCCCATGGATTTAATTAATCAATAAGAATTATAACACTATAAAGGGGGTATGTACAATATTATTCATGGTTGTATAAGGAAATATACTCTTTAATTCGATTGAACTACATATACAAGTGTGCTGCTGTTAGGTAATTTTCTTCCACACACACACACTTTTTAATAATTTCCACTACCTTTTTAACTCAAAGGGTAATTAGATGTGAACTAAATCATCATTTGATTCCTAAAATGTCCCCGTCAACAGTTATAATAAAAACCATCAGTATAAATCAACCTTTAATGTAGGCTCTATTCGTGAAAAGGTCATTCAACTTTTATAAAACCTGACTCAACTGATTTATAAGGATGAGATGACTATTCCAGCACAAAACATTTAAATTTATAATTTAAATTTAACATTTATTATTTTTTTGGGATGTTGGCAGACTCTCAAACATATTTGGTGGTTAATTTTGGTAATTGTTTTCATTAACAACGCCAGTGAAGCTCCCAAACCCTACAATTTAAAATTGTCTTTACGCTCACTATTTGTTATCAGTGAAACGCATTCAGTGAACTTTTGTATGGATCAAAAAAGAGCCACAGACGTTCAAACTTCGAGTATAATGGCAAATGTGTTCTCTTAGGAAAATTTTGAAGAGTGTTGTTAAAGCAGTATAAGTAAACATCGATTCAAAATAAGCTTTAAAGAATGGCTGTGGTTCACCGATTGACTTGCTCCTCTTCTATTCAATTCCAAACAATTTATAAATTGAACTGATTCTAAATTTAACTCATTCTAGTAAATCAACATTACCAAAAGATGTTTAAACGTTTGACTAACCCTTTACACTTGCGAAAACAAAACGAAATTTTTAAAAAATGTCTAAGAAACCTTTTAACGAAATTATATTTTCTTCTTACAAATCATAAATAAACAAAACATAATTGCGTTTTTGAACACGTGATTTTAAAATTGTGACACAAAAATCTTACCTTTAGGAACGAATTTCTCGATCTTAACGTCCGGAACAGTTGGCATTGTGGTATTCACTTACACCTGGGAAGACAGATAAAGAGGACAGTTTGACAGGTGAGTAAGTTAGACAGAAAGGAAAGAAGGAAGACCCGCTTCGTTTGCGAGTCGGCCGAGAACTAAGTAGTCTAGAGAAAGAAGATTCCCCTTCCACGATAGCCTCTGGGTTAAACGGTTAGTCTCTTTACAGAGCTTTGAAAGTCTTAAGGAATGCTCTTTGCAGAATGTGACATTATTCACAACCTTGGGTAAAAGAAAATGGGACGCAATATGCTTCCCTGCAAGCTCCCTAGAGGAGTCTAGAGGTTTCATAGAGACATTTTAATTTTTCAACTGCATTTATTGTTATAACTGTTCATTAGTATTTCCAACCACCTTTTACCTTTTTGGGAAATAAAATGGCATTTTTAAATACAAAAGCATTAAACACTCCCCTTGTTTTATTCAAGGACACTTATAATTAAATACACATAAACACCAAACACATAATTCATTCAATTGAAATAAATTTATTTTCAGATAGTAAAACTTATAGTAGGCTATGTACAACAAAACACTCTGAAATTAAGCCCTGCAAAGCAAAGCTTGAGTGCAGGGACCAAGTCGCAACATTACACGTATATTAATGATATAATAGTTAAGGATTATATTTGTGGTGACTTTTTTTTAACTATGTGTTCCTCTCACTTGTTATTAATAAATTTAATGTAAGCGACAAGACTGTCCATACAAAAATAAAAACAAACCTAACCTAAAACTCTATATACTTAATTTAATGAGGTTTTTTGTTACTTCCCTTCTTCAGCCACATCTTTACAATATTACGGTGTAATTTCAAAGCTTATGATCTAGCACAGTGACTGATGGTGACAAGGTAATATCTTATAGGGCTTCTCCCCCTGGCGTTTGATTTATTAACGTTTCAATGATCCAGTGATGCTGACTTTATAACATCATGTAAATTATAATTCAACAGCTGATTCTTCAATTAAATGTTTAACCACAGTCAGATTGCACATTTTAAGAGACGACACAGGATAATTTATTTTATAATCAATCACTCTTTCTCTTTATGGTGGAGATATAAAATTAAAAAAAAAAACCATTTCCCTTGAAAGTACAAAAATACGTCGAATAACACTTGTGATAATATATTAACACTTATACGGTTTACTCGCAAGACGGCAAATGCATATAAAAGATGGTAAACGTTGATCGATTTCGACTGGACACTCCATACCCAATGGGTACGGCTTCCTCTTAGTAATATTAATTATTTAAAATTGTTTAGCAGATATGTTATTTAACATTATTTGTAGGCTTAGGTGTAAAGATTCACTAGGCATATATTGAGGTCAGGGATTTATTTATCTAAGATCATCTACAAGATTCACTAGTTGTTTCCGAGGAAGGTTAAATATTTTCCCAGTAGTTGCTGTCAGGTATTTGTATTTAAATAACTCGTTTCTATTTGAATAACGCGTTTCTTATGGTAATAAATACCCCGAAGCCATACCTGTAAATCATGGACTTTTAGTGTCAACTTGGTTGGTTATACTAAAAAATGAAGATAATTATCTACCATATTTGCATATGTATATACTGAAAGGTAATCCCTTGAGAATTGTCTTTTATATTCAATGCACTTAAAAGTACTATTCCTATACTTACACATTGATGTGGTTGCATGATTAAAACGTTTGACACTGTTCGAGCAATCCGTTATGTTTGTATTCAAAGCGATGAAGCATAAGACGATCAAGGCTTTAGTTTCACTCAGACGACAAGTAGCCTACGCTTGGATCAGCTGATACAATACCCGATCTAATCTCCTTAGTGCTAAAGCTCGGTTACCTTTCAAAATCATAGATCATAGATGTCGCAATACGTAACCACTAACCATAGCTAAAAGATTTTGTTATATAGAATTGTTATCCTTATGGATCCCTGAAGACAATTTTGAATCTTTTTGTCCAACAATAATAAAGTTTTACTACATAAATTAACGTGTTCTATTTATCACCTAACAAATCTGACGATGATTGGGGCTGTGCGTTAACAGTATAAGTGTGAATATATCTCAAGTTTTTATACCCATTTTTATTTACTTTCCGTAACTTAAATAACGCGTACTATGCTGATCAAGAAGTTATTTATTATTTTGTGTTCATCAAACACCTTCACCTTATCACAAATTGCGATTGGGTATAGAACAAGGAATCGATCCGGATGTCTTCGTATTTGAATGCTTGTACGGCTTGTACTGTACTTATACCTTTCTGATCTCAATAAATTGTTTGGTAGTATAACATGTATATATCGTTGGCTATATTCATTCATACAGTGAAACATAAACAAAAAAACAGATCTCCTGCGCAATGCATGCCAAACCAAATCCCAACCAAACCTTAAAACCTTTCGCAATTTAAACGAGAAAAGAATATGTTAAACGTAAATATTTCCTTTTATTGGCTAACCCAAATACAATAATGGCACTATTGTATTGTAATACACCTGGATATTGTTCTTAGAAACATAACCAATGCCATTTCGAAATTTCAGTGAATGTATACTAGTTCGACGCAATAGTTGCCGGATCTGTCGCAAAAGTTCCAGTTTCAAGAGTAAAAGTTTATATTTGAATTTTTTCAAGCAAATCTGTCAACTACAACGTTTTCATACTTGGTTTAAAATACCTACTTTCGTATGGTCGCCATTTCAAAGTAAAGTGCTAAAGTATTTCTTTGTTTGAAGATAATTTTTTGTTATGGTTAGTTAATGATATTTTTGGTAACTTGTTCATCATTATGTACAAATATACTTACAGTGCAATAAGGGTAGGCCTAGCATATCTTTTTCACCCGTCCTACTTAAAACCAAATTTTACAATATATGCGTCATTGTATAGCCTATGATCCAGCGGAATGACGAATGGCAATCAAAAATGTAATTTCTTTTAGAGCTTCAATCCCAAGAAAGCCAGCGTTTGATTTATATCTAATCGTCGCTTTCAAATATCCAGTGAGGTTGACCAACTTTCTTTATAACGGTTTTAAATACTGTATGAATTTTAATTTAACAGCTGATTCTTCAGTTTAATATTCAACAACAGGTAGATTCTTGCTTGTAATCTACCTGATGTTAAATATTAAACTGAAGGACCAGCTGTTAAATTAAAATTCATATTTAAAACCGTTATAAAGAAAGGACAAAATATTTTATGGGAATGAATTTCACAGGTCACATTTTATTATGATGGTAACCTGTTTGAGGTGGGTAAATTACTCTTCACGTTGTTGCTCTAAAATCGACAAATTCAATCTATTGCAAATAGTAGTTTTGTTCACCTAATGACTGTCTGTAACCAAAATAATCTTTGAAAGGTAAAAGGGTGCTATAGACATTTTTCTTTTTGCTTTGCAAATCAATTTTGAACCCTGTTGAAATGCGAAATTTACTCACGGGTCCTCTAGTTTTACTTTATTCTAATATTTGGGAACAATGGTTTATGCAAAAGATGAAGTTTTATTTCCCTATACTGTCAGAACACTTTGTTTTGAATTGATTTGCAATCAACCCTTACAAAATCTGTTAACTGTCAAATCAGTTTGATTGACAATTAATTTGTTTTTTATGGCATTGTTCTTAGGTTCTAGAAATTTTCTGTTAACCTATCATATTGCAATTTTGTGCCTCAAAGATAATAATATATTTACACTTATAGTCACAAGATGGTAAATACATATAAAAGATGGTAAGTGGTGATCGATTTCGATTGGACACTCCAATCATCATCAGACCCAATAGGCGAAGTCTCAAAGACCAACAAATCTTCGGATTGACGCACACATAAATCATATAAATACAAACAGTGATGGACTCACAGACCACCACATACAAATCAGGCAGACCAGGAAGTTGGCCGATTTGACCACTCGAGCACGACTCTAGGTCCAGTGGGCCAAGGATTTTAAATGTCCATGACTCAATAATCAGCTGTGACTGTTAATTCGGTCGTCTGTGACCGCCGCTTCTTCTTCCTTGCATGCCGGCTGAGTGGGCTGAGTGACGATCTTCATTGGCATGGAATGGAGATGGAGATGGATTATTAGAGGAAGCATTGACAAATAAACTTCTGTGAATGGACTCACTGTCACTGACATTGATACTGACCTAGGAGGATTAATGCTAATTCTCCTAGATAAGGATCTCACACTGTTTAATGTTCTTCCCTTCACGCCTTGACTAAATATAACGCACAATTCTACGATGACAAATACATGTGACAATCAGCTGTTGTACAGGGTGGGGCAATGAAAGCACCCCAATTTATAAGTAGTACAAATTCAATAATATTAACCCTATGGATATAAATAGCACATCAAAACAAAGGTTATCTTTTGCCATTTTAACTTAACAAAGTAATGTTTCCAATTCCTGAAAACAAAATCATGCAAGTGACGCCCTTGTCTTACTTGGCATTCCTTTTTAGTCACTTGAAAACTCCATCAAATACTCCTCCAGCATTTCTTCAGAAATCACTTTAGTTTTTGGACAATTCTTAGCTTCGTTGCAAGCAAATCTGTGGAGTGACTTTGAAAAATCTCGAACTTCAAGTAGTAACTTATTAGAATAACTCCTCCCTCCAAAAAAAGAGCCAACGTAAAGCTTTCAAAAACAAAAGCTTCCTGACAAATCTTTTTGGACTTTGAGTTACTGCGACTCGCAATCTTTCAACATTTGCTGGTGTACAAAGCGTTTTGCGGCACGCGCCGATTATTTTTTAGGTTTAAGCGTTTATCCTAAATAATTTTACCCAGTTCACCATTGTTTTCCAATCTGGAACAGCGCCATGTTGACCAAGGACGCAATGTGGTCTAAACAATCTCCGGGTTTTTGCACAAGAATCACTATTTAAAAAATAGGTTTCCACATCAAATCTCAATGTTAATAGCCTCAAGCATACTTTTTACTAAAATGGCATAGTTTAATTGATGTTATAAGCACAGCTATTCATTAATTGTTGCTTTACTTATAGTGTGACAACGAAAGAAAATTGGGGTGCTCTCACTGCCTCACCCTGTACATGCTTGTGACAATTTCACATATGATTCACGAT